ATCATTTGCATAATATATTCTAGATACCTATAGACACATGTCTTAGCTATACTCTCTGTGAATATTGAGTTTATTGACGCACGATTAGTCAATATATTAGCTAACACATTACATCCGGGTAGAGCCTAGGGTTCTTAATCTGTGGTCCATGGACCCCTTTGGGGTCCGTGGATGGACTTCAGGGGGTCCGTGAACCAGGCGCATGCAAAATTGTGTGTTTCTGTGCTTATTTGCATTTTTCTGGGGATGGGTCCGTAGCTTTCACCAGATTCTCAAAGGGGTCCATGACTCAAAAAAAGTTAAGAACCACTGGTGTATATGCTAGCGTGTCTAGCTTCCGGACGACGCTTCATAACACTGGCAGATAGACGTACACGCTGAGTAGAGAAAGTAAAAATAACAACGAGCGCCTTCACTGGGTCTACTCAACTGCTGCCGACTTCTGCGAATTCATGCAGACGTGATGAATCAGAGGTCAAATGGTGGGCTGTATACAGAACTGGTAGCGTGAAACATTTTCTCCCGGGCAAGCATGCAGTCATCATATTTCATTCAGTGAGCGTTATGCTGGCACGACGGCTGATGCGCTGATTGGAGAAACGTTTAACTCTACGTGGGAGAGGTGTATTTTTTTCGTAACTGCAGCGTTGTTGCTACCCAGCAACGAGAGCGTAACATGTTTGCAGGCGAGTGACTGGAGGCACGCGTTCGGTATCGCGTACGCGCGCGTGTGTGTGTGCGTGCGTGCGTGCGTGCGTGCGTGCGTGCGTCCGTGCGTGTATGTGTTTGCGATGTTGACGTCTATCATGTCGTTACTTTTGGCACGAAGATATTACACACACGCACGCGCATGCACGCACGCGAACTATATAAATGTTTGGAATGTTTCCGTGCGTGCATGCGTGTGTTCGTGCGTGCGGGCATGCGTACGCATGCGCGCGCGCGTGGGTACGTACGCGCACGCGTGGGTGCGTGGGTGCGTGTGGGTGTGTGGTAACATGATGTAGCGGGCGCTCTGGTTGCAGACTAGAAGTCTGAGCGAGTTCAGGGAATTCACCGCCGATGTTTTTCCAAGCGCGTATAGGCGCTGTTATATTAGATAAGCGGTTCTTCCCCGCACTAGGTCCATGTATAAACCTACCAGCGCGGTCATCGGCATGCGTTCACAGACATCGACTCTTCCACTCAGATCTACTGCTACTGGTGATACGAAGCGCAGTGTACTTAATTGTACACAGCCACCGGAGTATTGCTTAAACTAAGGCAGGGCTTCTACATTAAAGCTAACTAAACACCGGTGAGTTAATTATTGTGATTATTTATATTCTCAAACAACATTCTTTCTGTGAGGCCACGCTTTTTCGTCATCACTCACAACTTTCTCGTTTTCCTTTTCCAACTTCTGGATGTCTGTCGCTCCATGTCTTTCTAACAGTAAGTACAGTAATAGTAACTCGTGGCTATACCTCTTCTTGTCCCTTTGGCTTTAGCTTTTCCTCTCATCGGCGTCTCCATTCCCCATCTCATACGTACGTCCTACCTTATATACTCTCCTTATATACTCCTCCTTTCATACGTCCCATCTCCTATAGCTACCCTCTCGTGCCATCTTTTTCGACACCCTGTCACCCTGTCAACCCAAAGCGTCATCACTATCTCCGTGGTGATCTACTGCTGGATCACTTGATCAGTCCACCAATATTTCAGTTGTCCCAGATTTAAAGACAGGCTTAATTAGGATCATGACACGATTAGGTGCGTTAGTTATGCTGAGAGGGTCTATGTCTCCCAGGGTACTTCAGGAACGTACCCTGGTACCAGAGCATAATTATAAATCAACGTGATTTATATGCTCTGCTGGTTTTATATCTAATATGCCGGACCGTACCTCGCCTACTCCACTAACGAGTCTAGGGAGTCGCCTACGCCTACTCCCTAACCCTAACCCTATAACCTTCACACTAACCGGTTAG